GAGCCGAGCCGGGCTGGGGACCAGCCGCCCAGGCCCCCCGGCCGTGACCTTGGCCCCAGACGTGACTGCCAGGGGACCCGGGACGAAGTAGGAGCCTAGACCCAGACCGGGCTCTCCGGAGGGGCCGCGGCCCTGACCCCAGGCTTGGCTTGTGAACGCTGAGCAAGAAGACCCCAGACTCACAGTCATGGTTTCAGGAACTTCATCCCAGAAAACCCTGACCCTGGAGTCCCGCCATGACCGAACCCCACAGAACCTCAGAATTAGACCTTGAATCTAGCCTCTGAGATGAAAACCTGGGCCCCCTGGGCCCACCCCCAGATGCGACCATGACTTTAGTTCTGGTTACTGACATGCCACCTTGATTTCAGACCCAGATCACTGCCCTAAGCCCAATCTCTGGGTCCTAAGGTCCATGTCCTGGACTGAGAAATGCACCTAGGACAAGGACATCAATCAGGGACCCAGCCTGGACCCAGAGAACGTGGGACCTGACGATCCCAGCCAGACCCCAGAATTCCACCAGTCCCAGCCTAAGATCGAGGCCCCTGCACCCAAACCCACCCACTCTGTGTCCAGCACCCTACCCTGCACCCATCCCACGCAGAGGGATTAATACTGAATCCGCCATGTGCGATCAGACAGGGGTCTTAGCTGGCTGAGAAAACTCCCTCAAGGACAGCCCAACCCAGGTGGCAGAAACTCCGTGTCCTAGGGTGACAGGACTCACACCAGCCAGTTGTTGTTGTTGTTGTTGTGTGCTGTCAAATCAACCATGCCTCATACCAACCCTACGAACCATAGCTCTGAACTTGCCCTATCCTGAGCCAGCTTTCCACCTGACACACCTGACACCACTGCGACAGTCATTGTGTCTCTCAGTCTCATCTGCTGTCTTTCTGTCAATCACCCTCCACCTTTTCAAGCATGATGTCCTTCTCCAAGGACTGGTCCCTCCTGGTGAATGTATGGGAGATGTGTACCAACCCTAGGCACATGATACTCAATCCTCAGGACAGTTCTGCATCCAGGGCCCTCTTGCAAAGCAGGACCTCCTGCCCCATGAACTTCTCAGGTAAGGAGGGCCTACAAGCTACTTTCTCAAATTAACTCCCACATAACCTAGTACCAGAGACTCCAGAGAGGTCAACGTTCCTTTCTCAGTGGACAGGATACACCCAGAGATGGAGGACAGAATCCCTGTTTCTCCTTGACTCCCTTTCACCATGTGTTTTTTTTTTTTTTTTACTTCACCACACTTCCTTTATCTGGCCTCCTGAAAATCTTCTTATAACTTAGAGTTCACAGGATTTCCTGACCACTACCCTGGGCCACTGGGCCGATAAGGAACATCATGATAGATGGAGAAGAGATGGAATTTGTCAATTACTTCATCTTACTTGGATCCACAGTCAACTCCCTTGGTACCAGCAGTCAGGTGATCAGGAAATGTATTGCATTGGGAAAATCTGCAGTCAACCACCTCCCTGAATTATTGAGAAGCAATGATGTCAATTTGAAAACTATGGTGTGCCTATGCACCTGACAGCTGCACAACAAATAAGGATAACAGGAGAATTGATGCCTTTGAGCTCCGGCATATCCTATGGACTGCCGAAAGAATAAAACTGGACTTGGAGAAAGTGCAGCCAGAGTGCTCCTTGGAGGCAAAGATGACAAAGTTTCGTCTCACATACTTCAGGCGTGTTGCTAGGAGAGGCTATTCCTTAGAGAGGGACGCCATTCTTGGAAAGGAAGATGATTGCTGAAAAAGAAGACCCTCAATAAGACAGATTGACACAGTGGCTATACCAATAGACTCAAGTGTGTCACAGATGATGATGATGGCATGGATAGGACAAGGTTCAGATCTGTTGTTCATAAAGTCATGATTAGTCATATTTAACAGCACCTAACAACAACCCAGGTGCAGGCCCTGACCAGGTCACCATCTGCCTAGCACCTCGAAGTGGCTTTCTGGGCCTTGTGGGACCGCTGAGAGTGGGTAACCCCAAGAGAAGCTCCAGACACCCACACCGCATTGTCCAAAGTAGACCAGATTAGCAAGTTACTGGACCTACAAGTCAAAGTCTTGGATAACCTGTGTCCTTTATTCCCTGCTTGACCCCTGGAGCCCTCCACCAGCACACCCAGCACATCTCCAGCCTCATCTTTTCCATCCCCAGTGCTTTCCTCCTTAGCTCCCTGTCACCTTCTCCTGGTCACCAGAGCCAAATGCATTTCTGTGACCTGTTGTTGCCAGGTGTCTCTGAGTCAGCCTCCTTGCATAGCCGCTCTATGCGACTGAGCAGAACCACTCCACAGAGTTTTCTAGGCTGTCAAATGACAATCAAATGACAGAGCTGCTGACAGACTGGAACTGCTAGCCTTTCAATTAGCGGCTGCATGCATAACTTGCGACATCACCAGGCCTCCTTACTTGTTATCCGTGAGGCCTGAATTTTAAAACATTAAGGTTAATAATGTACCATCCCGAGTTTCTAACAGTGGGATTGGCCTTAATATTTTGTGTCAATTGGATAATATGTGCTTACATTGGAAATGCTTGGGGAAAGGGGAGGTGAATAGTTTATCTATCCATGGTCAGGTAGGTCTTGGAGAAAGTGCAGCCAAGGAGTCCTTGGAGGCAGAGATGATAACACCTTGTCTCACGTACTTTGGGCATATTGTTAGAAGAGGCTATTCCTTAGAGAGTGATGTCATGCTTGGGAAGGTGGAGGCTTAGTGAAGGACAGGGAAGACCCTCAGCCAGGTGGATTGACACAGTGACTAAAGCAGTAGCCTTGAGTGTGTCAGAGATGGTGAGGACGGTACAGGATAGAACAGGGTTCATTCAGGTCTGTTGTTCATACTGTTGTTATGAGTCGTACTTGACTTGATGGCACCTAACAACAAGGAACAACCACCCATGTTAAGGGCAGGTCCATATTCCTCCCTGCTCCCAGCACCCTGTATCCAGCACATGGTCTACCACAGGGCCCAACACAGACAGGACATCCATCTGCGTTTGAATGAAGCACATGGGTTTTGGACTGAACAGCAGAGGTAAATAAGAAAGCTACAACCAGAGTCTTGGGATTGGGAGCATGTTGGCTTGGCTTTTATGGCACAAACCCTATGTAAACTATTCTTCCTGATGAACTTGTTAGACCAGGATGTATGTGTAGGTTCTGGGAGGTGGCCCTGCCTTCCCCCACCAGATGGTCCCTCCTGCCTACCCAGAGCCCCACCCAACCTGGCTGGAAACCAGGGTTCCTCCAAGGAGCCTGTCTCCCGGGTACTTTTCTACGTGCAGGAATCCAGAAAGTAGGTCCTGGAAGTGGGTGCTAGGGATAAGGTGGTGCCAGTCCCCAGCCCCTCAAGCTTTGGGGATGGTGCTGCCCTCTGGCGGTTGTGGGGCGGTCGGTTGTTAAACTTGCCTTATCACAGAGTCTTGAATCTCTGAGCAGACCCGGTTAGAGCTCTGACAGTACCAGGCTCCGGCTGGAATGCTGGGAGTGCAAAGAGGAGCGGAATCCCACTCCCACCCAGCTGGCAGACTCGTAGACACATGGTTGTTTGGCATCTGCATGGATGACTAATACGTGTTGCAAACCTAACACATCCCACTCTGGGCTCCTGTCACCCAAGTCCTGCCCAGTGGGCTCCTCCCACCTCCCCATCTCAGATGAGGCTCCTCCAGCTCCCAGAAATGCTGGAGTCATCCCCATCCCCACTCCTCTCTTCCTTCATCTCCTGCCTAGTACCGCGTATGCACATGCTGTCACCTGCCCTGTGCTGTTGACTGCTTGTAATGTCTGCCAGGAGCCTTCCACATGTCCTGTGCAACACCACCACGTTTGGTTCCCCTAACCTCCACCTGGATGCCTGCACTCCCCTACTCCCCCCCCCCCAGCCCTCCCTCTTCTCTTCTAACCTCTCCATCCACCTCCACCTGGAAGTCAGCCAGCTTTTATAGACCACAGTTAATCATGCCTCCCGGGCTGCCCCTACCCTCCTTCCTGATCCACAGTCACCTCCCTCTAGTCTGTGTTCTGTCACTTGGATGATTGAAGTTCGGGCCTGACCTCTATGGCTCCCCATGCCCAAATGCCCTTCTCCTCCTTTCCTGGGGTCTCCCTGATGCCCTTTTTCTGGTGGTCCATATTGTACTTGTCTCACCCAGCATGACATTTGGGCACAAATTAGGGTCACAAAGAGACTAAGATTCAATGCCAGCCCAATCCAATAGGGAAAACTTAATCTCAATTAACTAGGCAAGAGCTATAATTCCAGGAGGCAGAGCCCAAGGGAGAAAGGCATGGTCAGCTGGAGGTCAGGGAAGGGGGAACAAGGTCCCAACAAGGACATCATCTACATGCGTGAGGTCAGGTGAGGACCTATCTGCTGGGAACTCATTCCTGCCTTTCTGTCCCTGGGCTTTGAAGACCTGGGAGCATGTGCAGAAGGGTGTGCCTCTAAGACTGACTTGTCATTTCTGGAAGGAGCACAGCCTTGCCCCAGGAGTCAACGTACCCTCAATGTGCTGGGTGGACAGAGCTGACTCTAGATCCCGAGGTACATTATACCCA